CAAGCTTGAGAATACTGTCCAGCAAACACTTGGGAGAGCTTCACAAGCAGTGGACTGAAGCTGGAGTCAGGGCATCAAGAGTCACCATGCTCAGATGTCTTCAGGAAAACAGAAACAGCGTCAGAAGCATCTCACCTGGGCTAAGGAGAAAAAGAACTGGACTGTTGCTCAGTGCTCCAAAGTCCTCTTTTCAGATAAAAGTAAATGTTGCATTTCATTTGGAAATCAAGGTCTGGAGGAAGACTGGAGAGGCACAGAATCCAAGCTGCTTGAAGTCCAGTGGGAAGTTTCTGAAGTCAGAGATGATTTGGGGTGTGTGACGTCTGCTGGTGCTGCTCCATTGTGTTTTATCAAGTCCAAAGTCAATGCAGCCGTCTACCAAGAGATTTTGGAGCACTTTATGCTTCCATCTGCTGACAAGCTTTATGGAGATGCTGATTTCCCTTTCCAGCAGGACTTTAGCACCTGCCCACAGAGCCAAAGCCACTTCCAATGATATGACTGTGCTTGATTGGCCAGCCAACATGCCTGACCTGAAGCTCATATGGAGTCTATGGGATATTTTCAAGAGAAAGATGAGAAGCTGATCCGAGCTGAAGCTCAATAGTTTCTCAGCAGAGCCACAGGCTGATCGCTTCATTCACTCCTCACTGATGCTAGAGTTTGTGCTGAAGGAGCCCCGGCCAAGTATTGAGTGCAGAAATCAACATACTTTAAAGAACTAAAGAACTTAAAGATCTGTTTTGCAAATCCTTTTTTTTTTTTTTGATTGATCTTAGGAAATATTCTATCCTATACAAATAAAACTGAACTAAACAACTCGTATGCTATTACTTACCCCAAAACATGTATTTTTGTACAAGGTGTCAAAAAAGATTCCAATGCAATTTCTACTTTTATAAAGCTTAAAAGTTAATAATAAAAAATAAAAAAAAAAAAAAAAAAAAAAACTTTGAAATGTTTTACTTTACATGTAATGAATCTAGAATATATGAAAGTTTCACTTTTTGAAATGTTACAAAAAAAGAACTTTTTCACAATATTCTAATTTTTTTAGATGCACATGTATATGTGTGTGTGTGTATATATATATATATATATATATATA